TGCATGTGACACACGACACGAACACTCACAAGAGAAATGCTAGATTAGCGTAAAACACATAGATTAAGTTCGAGCGGAGAGACTGTATGTTCCCGAAGTGGCATCCTGTAAACAACTGAATTCTTGTGTTGCCAAAAGAAGGGATTGAGTCTGTTTTCTTTTCTTTATTTTAATCTTCGGTTTAGCTTGATATGCTTGTTTGCGGTTGTCTTTTTTGTCAATTATTGTACTTGCATTGTGTAATAGTATTGGAAAGTAAGATTATTATCTTTATTAGGATCATCATTCAAGGTCATCATGGCTTTCCACAGTGCCTTTTATGTTTATAAATTTAAAGGTGTTTTCAAAATGCGCGTATGGATGGCTAAATATTTATGAATAATGACTGATTATTGTGCCAAGATAAAACAATAAGCAAAAGACAGGAAGAGGGGAATTATGCGCCAGATGCCCTTGTTTGTTTCGTGTCTTTAGAGAAAACGGATGTATGGACATGGCGGACTTTTGTAAACACTGTCTCAATAATTTCTCTACAATCTAAAAGAGTTGGAACTTTTATCATTGGCTAGAAAAATTAATATTGAAACTATAGAAAATTATGCTATGAATAATTCAGCAGCTAGCGATATAAATCAATCAGCTTCATGAGTATACGACAACAGTATACGCATTTTTCTCGATACGATCTTTAGTTTCATTGATATCCAAAGATTTTTTGTCAGTTACTCGTAAGGTACAGAAAATGATTGTCTTGGACGCAGAGAACTTAAATAACTGGAGAGTTTAGAATCTTCAGCATACACAACAAAAACTGTAATAATTGTTTGTGTTGTTTCAAGGGCTATAGTTTTGACAAATAAGTACAGCGAAAGATGAGTGAGTTCTGGGCTACTATTGAAAGTGAGGACTGCGTGTGTACTCTAAATGTTTCTCCATACATTAAAATGCTACCACATAGCGACCGTCGCGACCGCCTTCCTACCCCATAGCGAGCAAGGTCTATATAATCCTTCATTTGAAGGATTGAAAATGTTTATTTTTGTCCCACTCACCTGGCCCCATAGGTAGCTATATGAGTACTTATATAGATCTTGATAGCGAGTGCGTTGCAACCGCGATGCGAGTGCACATCCAGTCGCTCGATTGTCATAAAATCTGTAGGTGTTTTAAGCCGAAGCTCTCAGTGGCAAGATGGCTAGACTACAAGAGAGCGCGTTGCAACTCGTGTTACCTCGAAGCGACCTCGATGATACTAGGGACGAGAAAGAACGGGTCAGACGACGCGCAGATTTGGCGGGAAGCGCAAATGAGTGATGACGTCAGCTGTGCTAAACATTGCGCGTAATCCGATGAGTCCAGTCAGATGTAGTTTGTTTTGTGCGTTATGTGTGTGTATATATATATATATATATATATATATATATATATATATATATATATATATTATATATATATATATATATGTGTGTGTGTGTGTGTGTGTGTGTGTGTGTGTGTGTGTGTGTGTGTAATATTATATGGATCAAAATAAAAGTTTGATGTTTGAAATGCCATATTTTTCCCATTTCGAGGAGTTTAAACATTGCACATGTCAGTCCAGTGATAAGTATTGAATATGTTATCGGATTGTACAAAAATTACATTAATACAAGTGATGCCATGCCTAAGGTTAGCTTTTTTTTAGGGGAGAAGGGGGTAAAAACACCGTATGATTTATATTCATATTTATAACGATTATTTGATACGTTGTTAGTATGAATGCAGTATGCTGTTGACTAGTGGAAATGGCCCAATATTATTTTCAGCTACAACCACCAATTCCCCGTAGAGTGTCGGTTTCTGCTTATTATTATTGTGTTATCATTATTATTAATGTGTGTATTTGTTTATTACAGTGATGCGAGTGGCCATGGCGAATGTATGTGTGTGTGGTATAAGAGGAAGCATATTGTGTTTGGGTTGATATAAATGAAACAGGATAGGCATAGGCAATCTAGTTTAATAAATGGATGAAAGGAGCTTCCTTGTGTGTGCCAGTGTTATTCCGTAGTTCCCAAATTTACGGTATTATTTCAGATATTACCAGATACATTGCCAAGACAAATGTTCTGTGCTGTCTTGTGGAGGACAATTGTCAAAAGAATCTTCTGAAACTGATAGGGCCGTAGGTACTGATATAACTAGTAGTGAAGAACAGCAATTGGAAACTAAGTACCTAGAAAAGAAAATTAGAAAACAATCAAAAGGAGGGGATTTAAAGAGTGGGAGTTGATTTACCAAATGGCAAAAAGTAGGCCTATGTAGTGTTGAATACCACAAGGGGCATCTTTCTCTTTCACCTGTTGGATAGTTGAGTTCCCCGATTTAATTATTAAGATCGTCCCATTGTTTGGTTGGTACGTCCTTGTGATTGATCAAGAATGAGCTGTCTGTTCTATTGTATACCTTATGTTTGGCTTGGGTTGATATTGTATAACTGTATAGTATACAATGTTTTCCTATTAAAAATAATAGTTGTGTATTTATTTCCAAGTCAGAATGAAAGACATTAAAATCATGCTAACATACTGGAGCCCATCTATGACAGACGTTATCATTCGGGAGAGGTGGGGAGGGAAGGTTTTGTGGGACACGTGACGTCACTGCGCCGAGGGAGGGAAACGTGTCCGCCAGCCGTCAGACTCGTTCTCTCTCGTCCCCGGGTAATACCTCCTTGCCTACTTCGAAGTAAGCGAGCCAATTTTTAGACTTTTTGGCGGTCGCAAAGCGGTATCTTGTCGATGGAAACCTCGCTTTTCTAAGCAGCTCTTCGTGTCATTTTATTGATTAATGTTGGATTACTGTTATTTCACATGATATATATTATTCATCCATTTATTCGAGTTATTATCATAACGTGATCATGATTATAGCAATGAAAGGTAGGACCGTCAATTGGTGGGTGGGGCTGGAAGGACAATTCCCCCGCAAGACGCTGTTTGCCCCCCTCAAGGTCTGGCCTGCTTTCCCGAAGGACCACATTTTTTATCTATTTATTGTCTATTTATTTATTTGATTTTTTCTTTATTTTACACCTATATATGTCCAGTTATACTTCAAATATCCCTAGAATACTTTTTTCTAGTTTTCTTCGCCCGCCAACCCACTCTTGCCCCACTTCCCTCAAAGCCTCTGTTTTCCCCCCAACAATGTCTGGCTTGCCCCTTCCCTGGGTCACAGTCTTTAACTTTTTAAACTAAATTTCACTTATGTAGGGCCAGTTATAGTTTTAAAATGCCCCTAAAATAGCTAATTATCCTAAATTCGCTCGCCTACCCCTCCATCCCCCTCCCAGAAAAAGCTGAAATGACGGCCGAAGTGTGTAGGGCTGGCTGCTTTTCCGTAGCAGCATTCTGACGTTTTCTATACATTTGATGATAAAGAAAACGGATATAGATTATGAGAATGAACCACACAGTATTATAAACGGATGAAAATTTAGATTACAGTTACAGTGCATAGGCTCAGGGTCTGATGATTATAGGATTCACTGTATTACTTTCTTTTTCATTGCACTGCATAAAACAATATACAATACATATATTTTTAAGCCAATAATGTAACTACATTCAACAACATGGAATGCACCTGCATCTCTTTATAGGAAATGCATTAGATATACATCTAACTTAAGAAAATACGACACTGAACATCTAAACTATAAAAAGTAAACGATCATTCATAATGAGGGAGTTGCAGGGCTGAGGGTTTAGAGTCATTCTATGGGACTGTGGCTCTGCCTTTGGTGATGCCCAGCTGAAGTGACATCGGATGAAATTTTGGGCGTGATGACGTTCAGTTTGCTAGGATGGTTTCATGCAAAAATGCAAAATTAGCCTATTTAAATTTGATTATATTATTTGAAATTTAACTACCCATTATTATTCAGAATACCCACTTCTGAAATCATAGTGTCTTATTTCAAAGAGAAAAAAAAATAATTGTAATTGTTTTTTATCTACTGATAAATTGGTTTTCATATTAGTGGTTCAGTTGTAGAAAGTGCTACACTATCTGGATGTAGATAAAGGGAGATACAGGATTGGCGGTTAGGACTACTGCATTTTAATGTATATCAATCAAGCAAGATTTAGCCATTAGCCCTCGACAAACGTAAAGACGTATATGCTGAAAACATCTCAAAATTGAGAACTGGCCACGTCTGATGTTTTGAGGTCTTGGGGACGCCGGGAAAAACGCTTGGCGACCCCACTTACGTCCGTGACCCTAGGGTCGGGAAAGGCTGCCTTGGTCTTTATAAATGCGGTATTTGTGAACTTGATTGTTAGAATGAAAATTATCATTATGGGACAATGAAAATCAATTACTGACGAATATATGTATAGATCTTTCAAGCATCGACATATATCGTGAAATAACTCCTTTCTTTTTCCTTCTCTTTATTCCTAACATATTCATTAAGTGATTAAAAAGCAACAAGGAAATGTTTTTGCATGTACATATGCAAAACTCAGTGGCTGACCTACATAAATCTACACACTAAATACACAAATCTGTCCATTTTTGAGTGATTGTTTATTATAGACTCCAGGAAATACTTGTTTCTTGCCTGTCTTTTGCAACATCCTTTACGGAAAAGCTGTTTAAATATTTATTGAAAAAATTCTGCAACTTCGGTCATTAGCGGCGAATTCAGTCTTGAGACAGGGAGACATGGGGCGAAACCACAGGCAAGACCATACAGCTCTATAAATAGGTTAAAATGAGTTGACGATTAGGACAAATGTGTTAGATCTCAAAGATTGTAGAGAGCTGTAGATGAATGTGGCAAGGAAAGGTAAAGAGGAACTGACACAAAGTTAGCTTTTCATACTTTCAGCTCGGCTCTTACACTTTAGGATGTGGACTGAGGAAGTGGATGAAGGAGAAAAGGAAAAGAAAAAAGGAAAAGTAACGACCATGCAAATTTAGTTGTGGCGAGAGCTGAGGTCAAAAGTACT